CACGCCACCTTGGGAAAGGTGACAATAAGAAAATAATAAAATAAGAAAATGAAGAGTTAAGGCTTCGTTCAGGTGCTCAACAAAGGATGTTTGATTCTCTTTCYAAAAATCCACATACATATAAGAAAACCCTTCTCTACACTTCCAAACAGTACTTCACAGTGGCCAGTATTTCATTACCACAAGCAYAGACCTCATCAACTGCTGCTAGTGGCAGTGCTGGAAAGCTCTGCTCTCCAAACCCCAAGACAGAGCTAGACGCACAGCAAGCCAGCGCTTTTCAAAGGGGTCGGGCAAGACGGGYTAACTAGCCTCGTGTGGAAACCTTGGGCAGAAGCGAGGACGTCTGGCTCTCCGACAAGGCACCCAGGAGCTGCAGCCACARGCCACTCGCCACCGTCGCCTTGTTGACGAAGCGTTTTCCAGCATGGAAGAAAGGGGAGACCGGGCCATTGGTGAGGAGGGCTATCCGGCCTCGCCTGTGGCACGTCCCACCTTCCGCGCGCTCGACACTGACACTGCGTATTCCACTATCTGCATGAGTCATAACAAAAAGCAACGGCTTGACACGGGCGTTAATTTTTCCCCTAAGAAAGGCTAATTCCAACTAGCATTGGAATAAAGACCGAACGTTACCCCAGTAAAACTGAAGTCATTTCTATTCTACACAATATGCTCAGGAGGCAGAATAAAAATCTATTTGCACAGCCCAAGGTCAGTCAAGCTGTGAGTGGTTGTTTTAAATGTGACTATTAAAAGCAGGCGTTTCTCCTCACGTTTTCAGAGGGCCTTATCCCGCCGGCGCGCAGCGTTCCTCAAGGAACGCGGGGCAGCTCCAGGCTCCAGCGGCCGGAGGGCTCACGGCGTCTCAGGAGGCAGTCGGTGCGGGCAGGATCTCAGCCTGCACGATGAGAACACAAGCCACGTAGACAAGGTGATGAGCGCTCTTTAAAAATTTGCATGTAATCTTTAATCACTCCTTATTTACATACTAATCCTAGCAGTGAGGTAATGTATCTGCAACCCCATTGGCTTCAGTCTCCCAACTCATACATATTACATATACAATGCTAAATAATTYGCATTATAGCAAAATGTTCTTAATAAACTGAAATGAGAAACTCCTTAAAGACCCTCTTTTGGTTTTGATTATGTAACGGTCACGTAAAATAACCTTTCAGAGACACATTTTAGTGGAAGAATATGGATAGTGCTCCCTGGACTAGAAAGGCCTGGCTGCAAGTTCCTGTATTATTTTCAGCAAGCTTATGAGCATCACCAATACTTCCACTCACTTCCTCTGATCTGCATACGCAAACATGCTGCTCTCTGTGTATGCACTCAGCAACCAGCACAGCAGGGCTCCCAGCTCACGTGGAGTCTCCAAACTGCATTTTGACGGTGGCCCAACATGTTAATGAAGGCTGAAAACCGGGTAAATCCCAGTTGCAAGTTTAAGAAGAAGAACTGGATCTTTGTTTTTCAAAATTTGACTGTTGTCTTATTGCTCATCTAATTAAACTGTCACTATGACAGATCACTTAACCATTGTTTTTTCATTTTAGGTAAGAACATCCTGGATGTTCCCTCTGACAGTGGACAGCATTGCCCTTACCAGAGGAAGGATACAAACAGTGGTCTGCTTTTGCAGCCTACCCATTTCAAAATATATTTATGTTCTCACATGAGTTTTAAAGCAGTAAGAAGAAGCTACTGCTGATGGTATAGACCAAGTGGGAAGTAACCTGGTAAAAACACCACACGCTGCAAGTTTTGCAAACTATCAATATTTACCATCCGCCATTAAGTGCACCATATTCTCGTGCAAGCATCCCACATTGGGAAAACATCATCTCCATAAGGGTAGAACAAACAGCATTCAGAAGCTCTGGAAGCATTCTTCCCAAACTATTGCACTAGATCACATTGCCTCATCAACAGAGCCAGAGGCCATTTACACTATTTTCTTGCTTTATTATTATTTTTTTTTCATGCAACAGATGAAAGGATTACAGAAAGCTTTCTGGGACCAAATTTGGAATTAATGATGGGAAAATTCTTTTGCTAATCCCCCATCTCTCCCACTGCTGCCAGACTCCTGAGGCTGGAAAAAAATATTGTCGCCTGGTACCCTGCTCCTATTTTGCTCATCAGTGCAAAATACTTCGCTCAGGAGGCTTGAAAAGGACCCTCAAGTTAGCACGGGGCTGTAAAGCCTCTCGGAGGGGCCTGCACTGCGAGTCTGAGCAAAGAACGGCATGAGACTCCGATTAAAACTTGGAAGCACCGCAACCAAATCAACGGGGAGGATTCCTGCGCTCAGCCCCTCCGCGCGGGCCCAGGGGAAGCGCTGGTGGGAATCGCCAGCCTTTCTCCGGGCGCGTGAGGCGCGCGGGGCGGCCCGTGGAGCGCGGAGCCGGGCGCCGCCCGGGCTGTCCCGCGAGGACGCTGCCCTCGGGAACGCGGGCGCCCGTGGGGCAGCGAGGCCCTTCGCGGCCTCTACCCCGGAACAGCAATTTCAGCCTCCCTCGGCCGCCTGGCGGGCGCAGAGGCACCCGGCCCAGCCAGGGCCGACGCGCGGGGACCGCAGCAACGGGCCCGGCCCCCCTGCAGGATCCCCACGGGGGACCCGGCGTGGCGGCTCGCCAAGGGAACCTGGCAGATGAAGGAGGAGAAGCCAGGTGGCCTGGGAAACAGTCACACTGCCGACCTGCTTGAGGCCTGCTGCACTATCAGGCACTATCGGCCTTTTTTTTTTTTATGCTGTTATCTTAAGATATGATGAGTTGCGGACGGTGAGAATGGCCCAAGCAGACTGGGAAGCACAACTTCCAGCTCCCTACAGAAGTGCCAGTGGGATGGAAAATTGGACTCCAATAAAAAGAAATAAATAAAAGGATGGAGCACTTTGAAGAGGACGAACTCCCCTGCCTTCCCACAGCACAGGTGATGCCATTATCACTCCGCACTAGGAAGGAAAGACATTCTGAATAAGGGGAAATTACAGGGCAGTTATGCTCATCAACCCTGGCTGGGCAGAGTGACACATTATTGGCAAAACGCCTGAGAAAAGTCTGTAGAAAGTTAAGCGCAGGACATAAAATACGACACRTGAAGGGAAAGAAGCCACTGGAAAATCCTGCTAGGGACTGCAGGCTTCCAGGCATGCCAATGGCAAGAAACGCTCCACGGCAGCCCCACARAAAACAGGATTGTGAATCGGAGACAACGCAGAACAGTGACGGCCTGGCGGCCGAGAAGCCGGGTGACCTGCTAGGTGTTTGGTGTCCCCACGTCCCCTCTGCTCCCGGCTGCCATCTCCTCCCGGCACTCTGGGAGCAGGACGAGCGCGGGCAGCCTCTCCTGCCTCCGAGCTCGGTGTGCAGACAAAGGCAGATAGGGAAATGCTCGGCACCACCRACGCTCGGGGAAGGCTCCCTCTTTGGAGGAGCGGCCGCCTACAGCTTACATAGGAGCTTGCACGAAAGCACTAGGAATTTTGCTTTAGAGTCAAAGACAAGTCAAACAAAACCAGCATTATTTGCAGCAGTGGTAAAAAGGAGGGTTGAACATACTCCCAAATTCATAGGTGTTCAAGGAGGAGCCTGGTGCGGCAACACAGAAATGCTGGGATACAATTTCTATAACCTTCAGAGTCCATAAGGATTTGGGAAATGTACCCGCAACCAGAGCGAAATGGGACACAGATCATATAATTTCCTAACAAGAAACCAATGTTTCAGAGAGAATTAGTAAACATACTCAGGATTCCCACCTGTTTCCTATTTAGGTCAGAAGAAACAATTAATACGACTTTTTAAACAACGCTTAATGTAAGAGACGCCTGAAACCAAGATTTCTGCTCGTGTGAGGCGGAGCATCAAAACACGACAAGAGTGCTCTGCGTAGCTTCTCCCCGCTGCGCAAGCCATTTCTTAACAATCTTAGTAAACAACGAAGTATTTCTGACATTCCATATTCCTCCTGGATTCAGTGAGAATACGGATACGAGGGAAACATGRGCAAGCCTTGCTCTCGCTTCATTCCCAGCTGAAACGGGGCTCCCACATAGTACTTTATGTTACCTAATTGTTCGCAGGGAACCCCCCTCACTGGGAGCACACAGATGGAGAAATGGAAGATAAAAAACAAAAAGGCAGGCCCAGGAAGAAGCCGAATTAAGCGTATCATTTATTAGCAAGTAAAAGGGCATTTACCTTCTCAGTGGTTAAGTACAAGGCGACCCAAGGATAAACCATATGGCCCAAGTCTTTGTGCAAGGGAGAAAACTGGCAGGATTCCAAGGCTTTAATTGAACTATTACCATATTGTAAGAAATGAAAAAGTCAGAGAGACCAGAGGATCTGCTCTCCTARGGACAGTTAATGTCATGTGAACAATTAAGTGAGTAACAAAGCACATTTTACTTGAGAGCAACTCCACCATTTAGATACGGGCTCAGTTTAAAGAAAATAGGTACCTTCCCTCTCAATGCTGCACTTAATCCAGGCCTGCAGTCAGTGCCATGAAATGCTCAAAGCCCAAGTCATCTGCAGCAAATAACACGATGCTTCTCCTTTCATCACTGGCTCGAGTCTTTTCCATTTAGTTAATCGTGAAAGACGCAGGGTAAGAGCACCCTAATGAAAGCCAGCAGCAAACAGACACTTACCTAGAAGAGACCTGTGCTCTTGGAGCATCAGCACTGGGAGCGTGGTATAACATGAACTACACAAAAAACCACTGAGCACCTATTTCGAGGCAGGCTTGAGGAAAATACACCAAGCACTGCACTTACATACGCACAAGAGGGTAGSCAGTATAACAAAGAAGAGTAACGAGGGCACGAAGAGAGGGAATCTGGAGGAGCTGTTGACACATCAACATGCGCAGAGTGTCTTGTTACTGCGTGGGGAAAACAGTGCAGTTCTCCAGGGACTAAAACCCACAACCTTAAATTAAAATGATGGAAAATGAGTGTCTATGGGTCTCACTCTTACCATTCTGCTCATCCAGCTCGTTCCCAATTTCCTGCCCCATTTGCTTTTGCCGGGATATGATTGAAGAAAGAGCATCGAGCCCAGCATCTTGTTCTGCAAAAGAAAAATGAAATCACCCGAGGAACAAAAGGGCTGAAACGACCACAGGCTACATACCACGAAGGAGGCAAAAGTGAAGATAAAGATCTAACCAGCGCTTAAAGAGTTAAAATATTTTAAGAAAACGGCATCAACGCTACATGAAAATTAATTCTTACAGCGCTCCCAAAACAAAGTGAATGATGGATAATTAATTTGTCTGCTCTGGCTGGGACATTTAGCTGAAGGGTCCCCAAAAAAATCCAAGAATTCAACATCCAGCTGTTACTCAATCCTAAATGCAGGAGATTTCCTGGCACAGACAGGCAGCCCCCTGATTAGCCTTTTTAAATTTTCCAAGAAACTTTTAACTTGAATAAAATACAAACAGGTGATGCAAGCGCCAAGGAATTCAAGGCGATTTGTGAAGCTGCAAGAGGACAGAGCGCAGAGGAAGGCCCAGCCCAGAGGGGACACAGGAGGGGCTGCAGCACGAGCAGCCCCTCGCCCTGTGGACACCCTCGCTACAAGCCAGCCAGTCCCACAGGTCCCGCGGAGGCCTCGGCCGGTGCCCCTGTCCCAAAGCTCTTCTCGCCCAAGGGGCGGAACGGCAGGAGGGGCTGCAGAGCAGATTGTCAGTGGTCTGATGAAGTGAAAAGCGGTAGCGTCACAAGACTTTGTGAGGAGCCAGGTGAGTACAGACAGTGAGGCAAGAAATTGTACAGCATGGCCAGAGCCTGTTCCCTTCAACAAGGCGAAGGTCTGGTCCCTGGACCRTTTTCAAGCCCCTGAAAGGACATCTAAGATATAATGAAAAGCTGGAGTTTCGGAGGTGCTGCCCTTCTCCTGGACATCTCTAATCTCGCTTTCACACGCAAATTAAAGTGAGCCTTATCTGCAGGCCCATTGCATCTGATCCCTCTCAATACTTAAATTACAGGGAGGTGGAGGCCTTAGCTCCCCTGCCTGCTGCTGCGCCCAGGCTGCCAATCTGCCATGCTCCCCAAGGCAGGGAATTCTCATCTGCTTCCAGGTAACAGTTAACGCTGCCCGGTGGGAAGCAAGCAGGGACACCTCTACACCCCGTTCAGCTAGGAGACCTCTGCTGCAGACTAAAACCACCGAGACAGTCAAAATCAGGGCTGCCCTGCAAGGCTTTAGAGCCAAGCTACACCCAGGAATGATTCCATCAGCATCTTCTTCCCTACACCCTCAGCTTCACTAAAATGGACACAAAAGGTAATCACTGAATACGGGAGCCTGAATAGAAAGACGCCTTACAAACTGATACACTCAGGAACAAGAGCTATTAACTGTTTCGGTGGTTTCTCCTTCATTCCATTGCTTCAATAGCAATGAGGACGTTTTTGAAAAGCTGCTTTAAGAAGATAGCCCTAGATAAGAATATTGCACAATACGGCCCTTTCAAATAGAGAAAACAACCACCTAGAATTTGACATTTCCCTCCGGGTAACACAACTGAGGTACCGCTTACTGCCTTGACTTTCTAAGAATGACTCACTCTCGGTCTTACCAACACTTCCATAAAACAAAAATGCTCTTTTACCTTGAATGATCCTTCGCTGCTGCTGCCTGATATCATCAAAGCCAAGCCCTCTGGTTTCCTCAGGTTCCTCCAGGAGCCATGGGTTGGTTACACCTCGTTTGACTCCTCCAGTCATTAGGCTGGAYCTGAAATCAAAATCAGTAAATTTTATAGTTTTAAACACGTATGTTATCTGTTCTGCACTCTGTGCACAACGTGAGTGCTGATGGAACCGCACACATCTGCCCCAACTCCATGCAGCTCTCTGCCATCCTGTCAGAAACTGTCCAAAGGAACCTAACTATCTCCAGTAACAAATACACCTGCAGGTGCCACAGCATTTCCAACCACAAAGACAGAACTACATTTGCAGTGAACAAAAAAGTCAACCTCTGTGTTAAAACAGACAACACACTTTTTATATGCTCACAGTATAAACAGTTTACGAGTAGAACACAAAGCTGTTCCAAAAAGAGGGCTGCTTGAAAGGCAYGTATTGTCAACGCATCTGCTCTACTGACTTCCAAAGACACTTCCCACCGGACAGGGCCTTCGACACACCGCTGCAGATGGGGCTCACATGAGTTGCCAGTTGTGGTTGCTCCCGAGGCTGCCCCAGGACTGCAATTCCCAGGGGGGCGGCAGGAGTCACGCAGCTGCTCTGCTCTGTTGCCCGGTTTGGCACAGGCGCGAACAAGAAGCCAGGCACGCGCTCTTAAATGTAGAAGTAATCAAGTTATGGGTTTTCTCTTAAAAGAATTATGACTTAAGGCTGTTGGCGTTAGAGACACTTCCCTAGTTACACCAGAAAACAAGTTTTTCATGTCCAAGGTACATAAATTTGAGTCGTAAAAGGAAATGCCACTTAAATATTTTCCTCGGTACCAGATTTCGGGTTCTCTGCTTTCCGCTTCTCATTGTGCTTTGCTACAAGATAAATATGCAATGACAGACCACAAGGCACACAGACCCGGAGCCGCTGCTCCGAGCTGGGYGGCACCGCGGGGCCGCTTCCCGAGAGCGAGCAAGGGGCTCTGCTTCCCGCTTTGCTCTCAAACTCCTCATTTCATTCCCATTTTTACCCTTTTTCTCAAAAGGCTTCCCCAAAACAACAACAGAAAACATGTTTAGTATTTCTCAAAAAATATTCATAAACTTATTGCGCTGAGACTTTTTAATTAGTTTGAGTCTGGGCCTCTTCTTGTGATACACTGAAATACTGTAAGAAACAAACACGGGCTCGAAAACACTTTGTGGTCAAACTCTTACCTCAAACTCCATATCACAAACGCTAATTAGGCACAAACATCAATGCAGAGAAGTTAAATACACTCTTTCTATAARCAGTTTTCCTGCAATACTCTGGGAGGACGACCGAAGTTTTATGCCAAAGACATTTAAGCAAAATCCAGGACTTAGGTCAAGGAGTCCTTTGAAGAATGATGGGGAACTAGAGACATCTCCTGTCCATGAAATGAACTACCACTGCTGAAAACGAGTGTGCATCTCTAGCACGCGAGTGTTGGGTTGTCCATAAACAACACACACACGTCCCCATTTGTGCCCACTGCACTACACATTCCCTACTATGTCCAGGGACACTTGCATTTATGACCACTTAATTTGTTCCCACTAAAAACTTCAAGTATTTGTTCATCTGCCCTTCAAAGTAATGGACCTGCTGGGAACAGAAAATTAATTTTGTTCCTGCAAGACTAAAAAGTCCTCACTGTAACTCACAAAATCTCACTTTAATCATGTTGGAACATTATTCAAGAGCAGAACCCAAGCTGCTTCAGTCCGCCAACAACCAGCTGGCTTTCATGAGCAACGTCTGAAATGGAGTAGCTGCAATATTTCTGTATTTCATCCCTTTGCACCTCCATTAAATTGTACATATATTCCCACGTAAGGAGATCGGGTTTGATTTAAACAAAGGTTTGCAACCCTGAAGCACAATTTTATGTTTTTTTTTTTTTTACATTTCTTCGTTGCTTTGGGAGGGGGACTAAACACACTCTCATATTTTCCCAGTCTTGTGACAACTGCTACCCGGCGCACACGTCTCAGCGTAACAGACCGTTACCCTTTGGGGACACGAGGAACATGGCAGTGCATTCCRCTCGGCAGTTCCTCTAGAATGTCCACAAAACCTAGAGTTAACAACACTTGACAAAAAAATACCTAAATAAAGCAAATGGAATGTAAGGCTCCCTCCTAGCTAACAAGGAGGCAACTCCGCAACCATTTCTGCCTTTAAAAAAGCCAAGGCAAGCAAATTTGAAATAATTTGCACCATTCTCTCTCTCCCCACTAATAATCCGCCCTATTCTTCTAGGTTGGGTCATGACAAGTGATCTGCTCGTTACAATAATCTTTTTGACATGTTTGGTAACTACCTCCCCACACAACGCAGCATAACTTCCTATTTCCTCTGATCTTACCATGTTTCGCTTTGGTGGTGTGAAGATTAAAGCTTATCCAATTAGCCACCCACTGCCTCCGCCAAGTTAATCACGTAAATCTCTGAAACCGTCACAGAGCAGTGGAGTGTGCGGATAGCTTTTGATTATAGGAGCAGATTTAACTAATTACAAGGCTTAGCGGTGTGCCCAAGTATAAAAGATGATGGGGTTTAAAATCAGGGAGCTCTGTCAGTGCCGAGCAAGCAGGGCTTATCTTCCCGAAGGCATTGTTTCACCGCTAATTCTTATAGAACTCCCCAAGTAACTTAGATTAGTCAAGCAGTGCTTACTTTAGACCGAGGCCACACATCAAGGCTTGCAGCTTTGCGGGGACGATSAGCAAGACTGCACGTCCGACGAACCCTGGCTCTTACAACACGTGGTGCCGGCCGCCCGGACGTGCCCTCGGCGGCACAGCCGCCCAGCAGCTCCCTTTGAGGCGCTCGAGCTGCGCGGCCACGAGCGCAGCGCGGGCATCCTCTCACTTACCCTTTCATTGCTCACCCTGGCTGGCAGAGRGTTTTAGGAAGCTTTGAGCTAGCAAATGAAACAATAAATATTATTTTGACATGGGGATATGAAAACTCTTCTCCAAAACGAGGAGAAAGCACGTGAGCACAGGCACTTCCAAAAAGCCCATCAGGAACCTTCGCAATTGCAGGACTTCGCGCCAGAACCGTTCAAACACGAGGCCTAGAGACCAGGACAACTCTCCTGGTGCCAGGAGGCCATTTCCCAGGCTCCTCCTGCACATAACGAGGAGCACATCTCCCATTCGAGAAAACGCCACCTTGCTCCTGATGCCATTTATCAGACTGAGAGGGGGGCTGATCAACACAGGCAAATACCCAAGGAGAGAAGGTAGGGAGGAGGGGGCCAAACTCTTCTCAGTGGTGGCCAGTGACAGAAGAAGGGGCAATGGGTACAAGTTCTATCTCCATGTGAGGAAGAGCTTCTTTGGTGTGAGGGTGCCCAAGCCCTGGCCCAGGCTGCCCAGGGAGGCTGGGGAGGCTCCTGCTCTGCAGATCTCCCCAACTCGCCTGGATKCGACCGGGTGCCCCAAACTCTGGGTGTCCCTGCTGGAGCAGGGGTTGGACTGGATGATCTCTAGYGGTCCTCTCCACCCTCAGCCTCTGTGCGAGCCTGTGATGTGCGGCTCAGTCCTCCAGTCGTGCTGGTTTTCGCCAGGGCCAAGCGCAGCCGAGCCACTGGAAGAGGTGCCCACAGGGCCCGCGGGCAGCTTCACCGTGGGGCAGCCCCATGGCACCCGCAGCCCAAAGCTTCCCACCTGCACTTAGCGCWGACCTCACGCTGCCCGCAGAGGGCCCACGGGCAGGGCGGGCGCCCCACGCTGCTCGCCCTGCGGAGCTGGCAGCCTGGCCGGCTCTGCCATCAACTGCACYGAGGAGACACTGCCACAGCCGGGCAAGCATCTCCCAGATGTTATCTGGAGAACCCTGTTTACACTCATTTTATTACACAGCAGCCTCACCTTGCCATATGAAACCCAAAATATACACTGCCATAAACGCTTTCTTCAGAGCAACCGCCACTTATCTGGATATGGGACGTTATCATCTTCTTTCTACGTCCCTCTTACTTTTTTACGCAAGAATTGGGCAAAGCCCGATCCTACAGATACTGTAAAATGCTTCATGCAAGCCACATCAAAGCAAAGCCTCAYCTCCACAGCCCACTTGCTCTCCTCGGGAATGGGGGAATTATAAAGGAAGGGGGAATTCTTCATAAAAAGAAATTGCATCTTATGCAATCACAGCCAGAGGAAAGGACAGCCGTCCTTGGCGAGACCCGCTTTGTTCTGCACCCCAGATGGGCTGCAGCTACTGTAGGGACAAGGTGCAGGGCTGTGTTCACACTCAGGCCTCTGCCCTCGGCTCGGGGCTCAGATCTCCCTGACCACAAGAAAAAAGAACATTAGCCCCCGAGCACGTCACGCTTGGCGTTCCTTCCCACTGCAGATGCAGCACATTTCACAGGAAGCCTATGTCGAAATCACACAGTCATAGTGCTGGACACAGAAACGGYTTTTGGCGGGGAACTTCAGGCAGTTTTGAGAGAACTTAAAAGAGGCCAAACATAAGGCATATAACGTAAAAGTAGTTTAGCCTTGAAAGCTGCCCTTCTAGTGACATTTTTTCCTGTGACTAGCCAGCATTAATCATTACCAACAAGCAGGCAGGCACAACGGGCAGCATAAGGTCTGAGAATTAAAGACTTTGATTCACTTTTCTCCAGTTCTTTGCTCTTTGTTACGACACAAGTACATTCAATCTCCCCACAACCATGGTCCTGACCGCAAGGAGCTCATTAGAGAAGCTCGCCTCCCAAACCAGCCCTGAGAAGACTCCCCCATCGTCCTGGAATTTCCCTTAAATTCCAGGTGAGCTCAAGAACCTTCAGCTTTTGCAGTAGGTGGAGRGCCACCTAACACTGCTGGAAGCTGCTTGCTCCGGCGCATGTTTTTCTCCGCATCTACCATGTAAGTGCTCCCAGATGCAGAGTGTTACCCAGAGCTGGTTCAAGTACCCAGACACAGCGGAGGGGTTGCGAGGAGGGCACCGATGCAGGGGCAACCAGGCTGCCTCGTGACTGCGCAGCCAAAGACACTCGAAGGGTCCACTGCCCGGGCCCAGGATCTGAKCTACTGCCTCACGTGTTCCCAAGAATGGCTTTCTGGACAGACAACCTGCCTCTTCTGGCAGCCTTACTAGAAGCTGGTTTTGCTGATCTTCTAGGCACAATGTTAACTGCACTTGCTATTGGAGCATTGCAGCTACAAACACGATGAACACCAGTAGTGACTGGGGGCAAGGCAGAAAAGCAAGGAATGTTCTACAGGCACCCAGAATCCCTGCTACTCCCACTCGCCTTTTCCAAAGAGCACTTCCTCCTCCGTAAATAAGAACCAGGTTAGTAAAGGTATTCAAGCACCTAATGGCTTACTGATTAAAGTCAGACATCCAAATGCCTATTGACATTAGCAACTAATTATCTTATGTTTGATAGGAAAGTACTTAAATGTGGGTTAGTGTTTATTGTGTTTAAAAATAGAATATGGACACTGCTGAAAGTTACCAACAGGTTTATTACTTGAGGTGTTTTGTGTCCCACGACGATTTCATTTTTCTGTGTGTTCTGGTATCGAAAGAAAAATGTCAAAGTACACACAACTTATCTACTCACCAGTCTTCTCCACATGTATCCACATATTGACAATGTGATCTGAAAGAAGGAGGGATATTGCCTGTTCATTTGCCTCTGCAGATGTCCAAAGGCTKGCAGAAGCTTGATATTATGCACGATTCCCATCAAGGTAGCATTTCCAACTGCTTTTTCTAGCTTTTCCTTTCAAATGGTATGAATAACCTGGGACTCCTGTTCCATCAAAGTCTGTTATAAGAAACCATGCAAATCTCTTTACAGGGAGAAATGAGAGGAGAAGACACTGAACCTGTTTAATGAAAGCCAGTTAAAGAAAATTTAAGTGACTCTACTCAGAGCCAGGTAAACAGCACAATCTTTCCCCTGGAAAATTCCAGTTGCATCTTAATTAAGGGCGACAACGCCGGAAGGTAAACTAATGCTATACCAAACGAATGTAGTGTCTGGCCCTGTGTTCTGGCCCAAGTTGTCACTTAGGATAAATATTAAGAGCATTAAGGCAACTGTACTTCACATTCAGAAACAGCTTTACAGCAGTTTTCAAAGGATGTAAAACTCACTGAATGGTGACCAAATATAAACGAAGATTAATTCTAGGGAAACCTTCACAATTATAGGCCATGGGGACAATAAATATGTGATCAGTGGTGCAAGAAGGTTAATGAAAGGAATGACTGCTGGAAAGAAAAAGACTCCTGAAAATTTGTGCTGTCACATCAGAGATGGATTAGATACAGAAAACCAATACAGAACGAGAGAAAAGTGTCACTGCTAGAACTTAATCAAACATCACGCGCTGATTTTTCTGTGCAGCGGGTAAATCTCTCTCTCAGGCTTCAGACACACTGAAGAGCAGCCCTTGCAGTTTGCTAAAGCCCAGAGCAGGTTGTTCCAGAGGTCTGTAACAACTCTGAAGAAACACAGTGCTGCAAAAAGCAAATGAACCGGATTAGAAGCTGTCGTCTCCTGTCCTCACAAACACTATGGCAGGCAGAGGAGATACAAACTACTTCCTGACATCCACARGGGCCAGTTTCAAGCAAGAAACAGGAATTTGGCTTCCTTGCCAGTAACTCAGGCCTTGGCCCTGCCTGCACCACTGACACAAGGCCTCCAAGGAGGGCTATGGAAGGGGTGGGCAATCACCAGGCACTGGGCTGAGAATTGCTAAATTAAAGAAGTTAAAAGAGAACTATTAAATACCAAGCCCTGCAACGCCAGAAAACCGTCCCTGATGTTATCTTGTGTCGGAAAACACCGTCTTCCCTGGTCACTTCTAACGGAGTCTGAAGCTATCCTGGGATTCAGCTATTTTCCTCCTCTCTGCCTCAGCCCTCGGTGCCGGGCAGCGCTGGGTGAAGCCGCTGCCCTTGGTCAGTCTCACAGCAGCCCCGTCCTGCGAAGCCACCCGTGGAGCCCGCGTGCCGCAAAGCCACGGCCTGCAGCTTACAGCCGCTCGCGCACCGATCCACGCCGGCAAGGCGCAAGAGCTCCTCGCATGTTCAGTGCCCCAGGAACGCGGTGTAATTCATATCCAAGAGCAGGCCGAAACCTGGAACAATCAATGGAGCAGAGGGAAGCCTACAGCTTAACTCACCGTAGCGGCTGGTGCACTGACAACATTCAGTTTCTTCAAGGTGATGAACTGCAAGGGAAATACTTGGGAAATACTTGGGAAATCTCCAGCCCCCCACTGGAGAACAAAAGGGAGCAGCAGGARCCGAGCGGGCTGCAGCTCCGACTCAGTGTGTCCCCGCAAAAAGAAATCGCCCGGCCCTATCCCACCTCTCCATCATCCTACGCTGGGATCCGCGCAAAACACGACCACGCGCTCCTTCCTGGGATCAAAGGAGATTCGAGACCATAAGGAAAACTATCAGTGAGACCTGGAGATAACCCCAGKAGCTGCACCGAAATACACAGTGAACGGGTGAAAAAAAATCATCTTATTCTTAACATTAACAGCACTTTCATCCACACTTCATTTTCACACTGCATTAAAATAGCATGAAAACCATCTCTGCCTTTTTCAAGCACACACCCCTGAAAAATTCAAAGCCCACAGGAAAAAATAAAAAGGGCCTTTTTGCTTCAAAAGCAGTRATTTTTTATAACTATATGAAGTTTTGTTCTGTCCTAAGAATGAGGACTGACTGAAAAGGGGGCAAACCCTCCGGGAAGGGCTCTCGTGCTCTGTCTCACGCAGGCCACGTTGCACGTGCATGTGGAAAGGGCAAAGCTGTACACCTCCAACTGACAAGACCCTCAGGCTGAAGGTGAATACAGTGCCCTTCCAAATGCTGCGGGGACAGGGCCAACCCCTTCCCCACTAGCCTACTACTATTAAAATGCCCCACAACCTGCTCCAGGAGCCCCTGCCCGTGCTGCCTGCGTTACGTCTGCCACGCGTTCATCAAACAGGTCCAAACAGCTGCTGTTTTCTAGGCACACACACGATTTTCTAGAGAAGCACGTTCACAAGAACGACAAAGYGAGCACACCAGCTCACAAGTGACTTTAAACTAGAATTTTTACTACTTCCAGGCTACAGACAAGGGCAATTTCACCACCCACGGAAACACAACAAGCTCAGCAGTGACCCAGAGGCTGCAGCTTCCCCTCTCTTCTGCAGCATTTTGAAGGACAGAAGATTAACCGAGTCTGCAGTGGAAAAATTAGCGAGAGCAAACGCAATTATCCGCACTGGAATTTAGCCAAAGCTGTAACTCTCTCAAGCACGGCAGTATTCAGTGACCTGCAGAGGGCCCGAGTACAGGCAAGTCGCGCCGCTCGGTAGCACAGCTTTGGATTTTGGGCATGAATGCTGGCAATAGAGACCAAAACACATCAGGCAGCGAATCACGAGCACGAAGTGGCCCCCTGGCACGCAGTACCCCAGCCCTAATCCTGCACTAAGAGGGCCAATCTATCCCGCTCGGCCTGCGGAGGAAATAAGTTACAGCTTCACTTTGCTGTCACTTGGGAACAAAGCTTATTCCTTGCTACCTCTTTTGCCTTCTGCTTTCCCAGTAACAAATTCATCGGTCACAGGTTTGAAGAAAACCAAACTTGGTATCTAAGAAGGACAGAAAACCTCTCAGATGTGAAGTACTTGCATGAATTTTCTTAGGAAGTTGCACACATGCTTACAGAGCAACTCAAGCTGTTCAGAGGCAGCCGGGCAGCAAATACCTGCATGTGGAACGTCGTGGGCAAAAAGTCAGCACTGTTGTAACTAGAAACACATAAAATTCAAAAGGCTGACGATGAATCATTAGAAACAATCCATCCCTGCAAAAGCTGCATTCAAAGGCATCTCACAAACAGCTCTGTGAACCTTTGCCCGGCTGTGCCGAGGCGCTTTGCGAGTGACGCTCTGCGGCTCCCCCACATCCAGCTGCGGGGCTGCTTGCAGCTCGTTAGAGCAACTCAGGCAAGAGGTCTGAACTCCACACTTCCACCAACGGCTCCCACGTTCTTCCTGCTCAGTTAGAGACCATCCTGGATGGAATATTTCTCAAAATGAGATGACAAACGTAACTCCTTCAATTGGAAAGGGACCGTGTAAGATAGAGCCGCATGAAGAGAGGACAACGTTCGGGCTATTGACCGGTCCGGCAGCAAACAATTCACTCCAAGACATTGTTCTGTGCTGCTCTGATATAACGAAAATGGAAACTAAAGCGTATTCCCTTTGAAAGCACTCTGCTGATTCCAACAAAACAAATAAACGACCATTGCAGAACCTTTTGAAGCTTAGGCTTTGTCCTAACAGGTATTTTCCCACACAACGCACATAAAGACATCAGGCCAGCTCAACATAGTCTCAATTAGACGATAAAGTCAACCGTTACCACTTCCAAGCAGCTCCATTGATTTGGGTCTTCTCCAGCCTTGGAAGACATGTCTGATATCATCACTAAGAACGGGACAAGACTTCTGAAAGAGCAGAGCTGTGCTTTGCTGCATGCAGAGGGAGATGAACTCTGTGGATGCATCAGTGTTACCTTCAGACACACTCAAAGCACAAATCACACTGCACATGTAAGGGACACCGTCCTACCTTATGACATCTGGTTCCGGGCCTTCGTTCTTGTAGGACGCCTGCAGTTGCCTGTGTCGTGTGAGGAGGTCGTCCACCAAGTTCTGCCTCCTGTCCCCCTCCAGCTGCGTGCTGGTGGCGCTTGGTTAAGGTCAAACTTTAAAAGAAACGTTACATTTAGCACCGAGAGGATCACACATGTGGCCAGCTAATGGTGCACAAGTGGCTAATATTGCATTGTCAAACTGGAATTTTCCAAATCGGAGAAAAACAATTTTCAAAGATCAGAATATATACCTAAAAATACGCTCATCTTCATATAGATATAAGCTGTATTATCGATCCAAGTCAGACTTGGTCATGAAGACTACCAGAATAACCGCTTTAATTCAAAAGGATACAACACCTAAACAAAAATAAAGTCACCCAATTCTGCATGAAATCTGTTTTTATTCTAAACATGTTTCTGAGGATTGCGAATCTCAAAGAAAATGGCTTCAGAAATAGTGACCTTCCCGATCTCAAATTAAGGATGAAATTGGGAGGGTAAATACTACCAAATCAGCCTAAGAGTTCAGAATGGTTTCTCCATAATCCAACAGGATAATTCTTTCATTTATTACTATGCAAAARTACTATGCAAGTGATCTGTGCTAACAGTGACGATGCACAACACCCGTGCACGGGTCAAGCTTACGGAATGAATGACTTTTCCGAAAGCAGCTCTATCCTGCACAGCCTTGTAAGTACTTGAGAGGATGCAGGCAGCCCCGAAGCAGACGGCGCTGCTGAAATCACCCTTCATGTCTTATTTCACCCAAACTGAAGCTCATCACACAGACCCCAACAGTAGTTCTCAACAAAGTTCAGTACATGAAATAGTGAAAACAATGAAAAAATTCACTTTGAGCATCGGTTTCCATCTACAGTTTATCCTCAGGACTCCTTTGCAGCAGCTAAGGCGGGAGAAAAAATAATCCATTCAAGTGTCTCTGCTATACAAGRTATCTTGCAGGACCATCACTCTGACAGTGGCAGGTCTGCGGCTTTCTTCATCAACCTCAGCAACGTGCATTTTGAAAGAGTACTCTCTTTCTAGTACTTTTAAGGAGATTATGCACTAGCCACAGGGATTTGTCCCTTGCAGCAGCATCCGCTTGCTGCAAGGTACTCACGCGACAGGGCAGCTGCACCCACCATCCCCAGGGTTTTCACAAGGCTCACGCTAAGACAAGATCCCTGCTGCTGCAGGATGCTCSAAGTGACCACCCCTTCAGCAAATTAGCTTGTTTCTGAACAGCCWGAGCAGCCTCCCACCTGTAGAGAGCAGCAGAGCCACGTCAGGCCCTAGGGACTAATAATAACCCTACAAGAGAAACCTGTCTCTTTTTTTTACACCGAGATGCTGCCGAGGTCACCGCCCCGACGCTCGTTAGGCTGGTTTACATCTGGACGGCCACATGCGCACGAGAAAAACAAACCCAAACCTCAAGGCATCACTGCCCAGCAAGGCCCAACCACAGCGTGTTTTCCTCGCCCTCCTACGGCACGGGAAGGTCACAGAGACGATGTTTACACGGATACATCTGGTGCGTCGACACCGCCCGAAGCAGCAAGTCCTTCAGCTGATCAATCCTCTCCTTGAGGCTCTGCAGGGATGATCTGATGGCCACATTGAGCTGAAGGGGAAGCAGAAAGATTTGTGGCTGGGCTTTCATTCGCAGGGTTTCGTGCTCCCACGCGCAGGTGACAGCACAAGCAGCCCCAGGGACGCTCCCCTCCAAAGGGACAGGAGCGACCTCCAGAGCTGCCGAGGGAACAGCGCAGCGAACTGCTCCGCAGGCCGAACAATTCCATAAAGGGGGCCGGTTTCGCAAACACTCTTCTAATGCATTAATGCTGTTTAAGGAGAGAGCTCTCTTTCAAGTCTTTATAAACAGATTCCTTTATATGGGCAAAATATTTCAGCACATTTTAATATTTTCCAGTTACTTTTCCAGTTCTTCCCTCTGATCTTTAATGCAAATAGAGGCGCCAGCTTCTGCTGTCATTAGGTTTCTTGCCCAGCACTCATGATTACAGAGGCGGTTGTTACAGGTTTGGATCTCTCCTCCACTGAGCTCTTCCCCAAGAAATTCAGATTTATTTCATTTTATTTTTCAGTGCCCTCCAGGACGCTGCACTTCRTCTTGCTGCTGACCTGCCCCAAGTTTACATGGGTCTGGCCTTACCAAAAGGGCAGTCAAATCATGCACGTTCCTTCCTGCCCTGTCTGAGGCCTGTGGGAATTCTCCTCTTCCTTCCCCCAAATCAGGCTGACATTATCCTCCAGGTTGCTTTTTTCCTTAAATTCCTTCCCATTACAGTTATCTGGCACRTAACTAGGAAAATCACATTACAAAGGCAAGGCATCCTAATTAGGAATTGTGTCCTCCTTATAGACAAGATATTACCCATGCTGTGGGTAAYAGTCGTGAGCAAACTCAGGTGCCCCGAGTGCTGAAAGGGCAGGGAGGAAGGAATATTTGCCTGGGCTCTCATTTCCGTGCTCCGGCAGCGTCGCGCCCGACACACGGGGCAGCAGCGCGGAGAGGACGGCRGGCACATGAGCCGCCTCGGGACAACTTGCCAGAAACTGGCCAGGCAATTTCTTCCCTGGCCAGAGAGTGCCCTGTAACAACACACTGCACTATTCCACTGCCTTTWAAGAAAAAAGATACGAACCAAAACAAATCCAAGCAGCGAAAGTTCAGGCACCTCAATAGAGATGAGTTGGCGATCATGGAGGCGAGTGCTGGCTTAAAACACCTCCCTAAAGTGCTTTCTTTCTTTCCATTTTAGCTTTTATGCTCTATTTTTATCCAGCAATAACCAAGAAGGGCTTTTTTTAAGCCATACTAATGGTAAAATACTATAAAAATAAAAAGCTGTTTACATTCTCCCTGCCAGGCAAATGCTGTACAAAGACTTTCTCGCCGTTAAATTGTTTGCTAATCGTCGAATATATGATTGCTCAGCCATGGATTTCTCAACATGGGTTTCTGTTATGAAAACAGCTCTTTCATTGTTGGAAACTTGTTTGTAGTAGAATCAAGCACTGCCAAATATTCATCTTTAACTGTTAATGGATTAAGGGAAATGGCACTTGGAAAGCACAGAGCATGGAACAAATGATTTTATGAAGAAGTCAGTCAAGTGTGTAATGTTTCCATAAAACATAACCCAGAAGGGTTACGGTGCAGGAAAGGCTTCCAACAGCACTCGTGCCACCTTCCTTTTTTTGCCCAGGCACGTCACAAACAACAGCGATGCACAACGGGGACCTTTGTCCCCTATAAACACACAGGAATGAAGCCGGAAGCTTTTTGGTTGTTGTTAGGCTTCCATCCCTGGAATCTACATGCACAACTTCCAGCCCGCGCCGTGTGGCGAGCCGCCGCTTCGAGCGCTGCTTCCATGTGCCAGCCCGCACGTCCTTCCAGAGCCAGGGAAGGGCGTTCCCAGGCCATCCCTCCCTACTCTGCTTTTCYCGCCTCCTGAAACTCCCTTGCAAGTCAGGCCTGTCCTCGGCTCCCTCACTGATTATTTCTACAAGCCTGCACAGCTTTCTCCAAAATCTCAAAAACCACATTATGTTTTAAAAGCTCCCCAAAATGGGACTGGTGAAGGAGGCTTCACATCACACGGCAGCCCCACTGCACGGGGCAGTCAGTCAGCTGAGTGCATCGCTTGGTGCTTTTAACGATGCAAATTACAGCAAAGGAACACCCCCTATTATCGAGTGTGCAATATTCAGAACACCTTCCACGCGCGCCCCACGTAATGCAGGCGGGGCAGAGCTGACGTCSTGCCTCGCAGACAGGCGAGGAGGTTCCTGTGGTGCTTGAAGRGAAGGACGAGGCTTGTAGCTCGACAGCCAGCACCCTCCTCAGGTTCTGTCTTTTGTTGCTCCACTTAATCTTTCAAGCAGGGAGCACAAAAAGGTGGCAAACCTGAAAATACAAGCGGAAGCGCCAAGGCTTGCTTCTCATCTGGGTTAAACACCGCACTCGGCTAGAAAAGCCATAAGGAAAAACRGGACACTGCGCGATTCCTGTGGGAGCAGTGGCAGAGGCGCTGCGGGAGGGAAGGGGCTGCGCGGGGCGGCGGGGGACACGCGCAGTGGGGGACACGGGGGGCAGCACGGAGGGGGGACGTGCGGGCCGGCCCCGGCCCCGCGCCTGCTCCGCCTGCCCTTCGGCAGAGCCGCGGGACCCTCCACGGAAGCTTCGCTGCTCCTACAGCCAGACACACGTGCAGGACGTCGGAAGGCAGATACCAACCGGGAAACCCTGCTCTTGTTTGCACTATGACCACCTTACAGAACACACAGATCATCGCTACTATTTATTACCCTAACAATTCGGGTAACAAACGCTTCTCATGAGATCACTAAGTTTTCCTTTGTTTTTTCTGCTCTGAGAAGAGGCTGTTCAGGACGGCCACAGGCAGGGCGGCCTGGCAGGCGCCGCTCGCCAAGACGGAGCCGCCCGAGCCCGCAGCGCCGGCACCCAGCTCGGTGCCCCGTTCCCGCCYGCTACCTTGGTCGCGCTCTCCCCGTTCCTCTGGCAGCGGTTTCGCTCCTGGATTTTCTCAGCGACCTCGTGCGCAGCCTGACAGGTGGCATCGTACATGAGGAGCCTGCGGACAGGGCGGAAGCGGCTCGGCTCAGCTCGGCTGAGCTGGGCTCAGCTGAGCTGGGCTCAGCTCGGCTGGCTGGGCTCTGGGTCTTGCGCGGCCCCGCTGCCCCTTTCACCGGGACCAGCCAGTCCAGCTGCTCTTCGCGGGGACACGGGCCCCGCCTGCCACCCGGGGCCCAAACCCGAACGGAGGGCAGGGGAGGCCCCGTGGCCGCGGAGGGGCTGCAAGGGCCGCCCTCCCGCCCGGAACCCAACCC